AGCCCAAGCCCATTCCATGATGGAATAGGGTATAGTGTGCACTATATAAGTGCACACTTTGTGAAATGAATAAATTCACTCATTCGATCAATGAAAGAAAAAAATTCCAACCCCTTTAAACACTCTCCACGCCAGTGTTGCTTTTTGCTAAAAATCAAATACACTTTGTTTTCTTCTTGGTTCTTAAAGGCTAAAGAGGCTCTAGCAAATCCCTCTTTAGTTCTTTGAGGTTATCTTCGTATGGGCAACTCCAGTTTGATCCTACACTTGGGTCGATAGCGAAATACGTTCAAAGATAAGTTGGAGGAGCCTCCAAACGAACGTATGATTTCTTAAACTTTAAACTAAAATCTGCCGATTCTTATTTAATATATATAAACTGTAAATTTGTACCTTGATCTTGGTTCTAAGGAACAATCCATGTTCTAAATGTTTTGTTTTTCCGCTGCGTAACTGCATTGTCTACTAACAGAAAGTGGCGTGAATGGAAGGGGATGAATGGCTAGGGTTTCATTCTTGAACTCTTAATATAACAAAATATTACTTATAGCTTCCCATTTCACCCTTGCACTTTCTATAAAATTCCATCTATGTCCTTTAGTCAATTACAACAATGCCCTCATTTTATTCACTTCTCCATGTTATTCTACTTCTTTTCTCTCCCCACTTTTTCAACTAATTATGAGTGAAAAGACCATTTTACCCCTCATGAAGGTTTAAAGAATTTTCTTCACACTTGTTCAAGATAACTTTAACAAATTCAATTAAGGGTATTAGGGCATAAATAAAGCTACGTACCTTGATGTGGGCGTTACAATGAGGGATACATTCCTTTTTAGTTAATGTATATTACTAATGTAATTCTTCCCTAGTTTCGATTGATCTATGTTTATTTTCTTTCCTTTGTGTGGTTGTAAATCATGTATAAATTCATCCCTACTCTATTGAATAAAATTAAGCAAGAATTAACAATTTCTTCAGTTCTTATTTCAAAAATTTAGTGATGGAAAACAGAAAATTAGCACATATTTGTATTAAAAAAAAAAAATTGAAGCTGTACTTTATATTTTAGTTTTAATCTTTTTTAATATTTATAGCTTTATTTTTATATAATTATATAATTTTTTTTTAAATTATTGTGATGTATATGTTGTCTTATTTCTATTGTTTTTAGTTCTTTATTAAAATAATAAAATCACTCACATATGGATATTTCAGTCTTTAAAATATTTCAATTAAAGTTGACGGTTTTACACAGTTAAGTATACTCTCCTTGTCTTTATAAATATTTGTGCCCTATAGTCTGTAAGTTCTTTTATAAAATTGTCCTATGGTAAAAGAGTTAACGACTTTTTCCCACCCAAATAATGGCTTGATGGCCATTTTCCACCCATAGATTTTTAAAATACCACTTTCCCACCAAAAAAAAATGCACTTTCCTGATTCAACGATGAACGGAGAGCAAACTCAGTGCATTCTTTTAGGGCTTTTGAAGAGGGGAGGTCGGTGAGTCTTTTGGTGGTGAAAGGTTGAACTTTGGTGGTCGTGATTGGTTGGAATTTGATTTGGGAAGGGTGGCTACACAAACCCTAATCCCTCAATTGCCGACGATTAGTGGGGTCAACAGTAGTAAGGTTTGAGGGATTTTGATGAGTGATGACCGAGGAAGAGAATGATGGTGGTTTGGGGTCGCAACGATGCGGAAGTCAGTCAGCAATTGATAAGGTCAGTGAGAAAGTGTCATTAAATGTATTTGCTTGGGTGAAAAAGTGGTATTTGAAAAGTCCGGGGTCAGAAAAGTGTCATGAAGCCATTATTTGCGTGGGAAAAAGTCGTTTACTCTACGGAAAAAACCGAAAAGAATATAATATAAAACCCTACCCCACGCTACCCTTGCCCATCCCCACCGAATCCTATCTGTTGTGCGTTGCCCACCACACTCCCACCCTGTTATCAACAGCTGGTCAAGTATGGTGCTCTTTTAGGTTTGAGGTGATGAATTTTGTTCATGGGTATGGTGCTCTGAATGCTGCTCTTGTGGGTTTGAGGTATTGGCTTTTGTTGGTGACGAGAGGGGTTGCGGTGGGTTTGAGGTTCTCTATCTCTTACACTTCAATCATGAGAATGATTACAACAAGGTAGGGAGAGATTCACATGTCACATGGGGTGTAATTTTAATTTTTCAATTAATTTTGTAGAAGATAAGAGTTGAGGAAAATTTCAAGGGTAAATAATTTTTATATATGTACAAGTTTTAGAGTAAATATAACTTTTATATACATACAGAATTGTGTTAACATAAAATTAGTAATTGTACCTTTATAATTATTAATGTTAATTAATATTATGAAGATCAATTATTTGAACTTAAAATTTATATTGAGTTCATTTTTAGGTTTGATATTGACTGTTTTTTATCTTTATATATTTTTCTTGAAAATGGTTAGATTTTTGGAATGTTAATGTAATGTACTTATATAATTATTGTTAGTACTCATCCAATGTGCGAAGATGAAAGAATCAAATAAAAAGTAACGTGTTACGATGGAGAACAATTTTCAATCAATTAATGAGCAATACCAAAATCAAGATAAAATTGAATATAGAGAATAATATTTTTATCATAAAAGACATAACTACATCGCTTTTTTATACTGTGAAGTGAGTTTGGACAATATAGACTTTATTTCATATTTTTCTTATAGTTGTTCAGTTCCTCTAGTGCATATGCATACTCTCTTTTGTTTAGGTTATAAATAACATCCATGGCATATTCAATGATTTGTAACAGCTAGTCAATGACTTCTGTGAATTTGTCTCTTACAGTATGTAGATCATCCAGATTGGTCTCAGCTTTTTTGAAAATCTCTTTCAATTCCGGCATTCCCTAAAAAATGTCTAAACCAATTGCAGAAACAATATACAATCAATTTTTATAAATATATGGAAATGGTAACATGAATGTGTAAATATAATTATCAAATGAACTCTCGACATATAAAAAAAAAAAAAAAAAAAATTAGTGGTTTTTATATTCCTGCAAATATGTATCATGGTTTTGTTTGCGATTTTGTAATTTAGGATACAAAAGATGTGGAACGTTTATACCTTCTGGTTGCCTCGGTGGAAATTATTGTTGTTGAGGTTGTTGCTGGTATTTGCTGCAGATTCTTTTGGTTGTGATGTTTTGTCAGCCATCTTCAAATTAAGTTTTGGAGAAGAAATGAACAATTACAGTGTATAGTATCTGAAGAAAGTTAAAAGGGTGATTGATGTCAGAGCATTATTTATAGGAGAATAGGATACGAAAAGTTAATAAATAAATCTGTCAACCAAAAAAGGGTTAATAATTGTTTGGAAAAGGTATATGAAACGTTAGTAGACTATCTGTACAATATTAAAGAAAATCGTAATAAATATTTAATGAATAAATATGTCGATCGAAAAAGTGTCAATAATAATTTGGATAAGGTGATACGAAATGTTAGTAGATTATCTGGGGTATTGTATCACTCAGTATGAAAGTTGCTTTGGGAAAATTAACAGACATCTAACAACATATAGACACGTTGATTGAAAGAAGTGTTGACAACTTGTAGCAAAATTGTTTGTGGTGCATTAAAGGAGAACGTAATAAATAGTTAACAATGGTTTGGCAGGTGGGTTTCCAAAATATGTTGTGGTTCAATGTAGAATTCAATCTAATGAATAATGGAATGGAAATTTATTTTTATATGTTATAGGAATAGTATTTTGATTGATGTTTGTCGAACATTTTTTATTATTTGAAATTGTCATAATCATTGGTATTTAATATTTTTATTAAATATTGTTTACATGTTACTGATTATTGTAATCTTGTGATGAATTTCTCTTTATAAGTCATTAATAATTTGGATCAATTGTTGATAATCGAATGAATTTTAACTTTTGTTTTCAGATAAAACTAAGAAGCATTTGAAATTTGTACATGTGCAAGAAATTACATGCGAAAATTACTAAAAATTAAATTTCATATAGACTATTTGGTAATCCACGTTACATCTATGACATGTGATTCTGGAGACGTTGATCTGTCCTAGTGTATATGATTTTGATTCTCCTTGTTGCAAGTCCCAAATATTCGTCTCTTAATGAGAATTGTTGCAGTCAAAGTCAGGGACTTGAATTCTTTCCTGTAATATTCCAGTTTGTAGAAATGATTAGGCAGTTTTACTAATTTCATTAGAATTTGTATACCTCTGTTGTCATGTATAGTAAGCAGAGCAATGGCAGTGTGATGCATTACTTGAATGTTATATTTTTGGCAAACTACGATCAACAGTTTCAATCCCATATATGTGTCATGTTCGATGAAGAACAAAAGTGTTCCCAATAGTAGCAAAGCTGATTTATTTTCTGCTTCTGCAAGTGACTTTAGAATTGAAAGTCTCGTTATCATTGTTTCAAAATGTCCAATATATATATTAATGTTTGCCTGTTCCTTCAGTTATTTGCACCTTTAAATTGTGTTGTAAGTAATGGTTTTGAAGCACAAGATTCATAATAGCTTAAAAAAAAAAAAAATTCACAGTTGGGAATGATAATACCATTACCTTATGATTAAGCAGATAAGAATAAATAAGTGTACCGAATATGACTTACTTAAATATGGATCCTAAAATGCATTTTGTTTTTTGTTTATTAGAAAACTATTAACAACTAAAGATCAGATCGTTCAACAGAGTCATTTCTATGGTTAATCGTTATTGTTATAAAACTGTTACGGAACATAGTACTATCTTATTGTTATTAGTAGTATATTTAACCATTTTGTATAATATCATTTTTTGTGCGAGTAAGAAGACAATGAAAACAATAGATTAATGAGATACAATGGTTTTAGTAAAACTAATGTTAACCGCATTGCTTGTAAAGTTGTGCGATCTTTGTCGGTTGCTTCTACAATGATTCGTTGTAGAATTTCTTACAGTAATTGTAACAGACTTGTGGGTTGTTTCTTTGTTAATTTGAAAGGAATCATGAAGTCTTGGTGGTGGGTTTTGCATGTAAGCATATGGAAATTATGTTGTTGATATGGTATCTGTGGTTTATATAGTTTACGTGTAGGTAGTGAACAATTTTTTTTTCTTTCTTTTTTTGGTATTTCAACTACTTAGATAATTTTCTATTTGTTATTAATAGGAGTCAGCATTCTTATCCGAATCTAGTTTTTAATAGTTTTGTAAAATAATGGTTTGTATTTAAATGTAAACGGTTTGCATTCATGTTAATTTCTATATAGGTATATTAAATATTTTAGATATTTGATTAGTACGCACATGGTACAACACAAGATATCATCAAAAAGTATAATGCGAAGGGTATTGATGTTATTGATAGATGTGTTCTGTTTAATTAGGAATACAAAAGAAACAGATGGAACATGAATAAAGATATTATAATGAATAAACATGGTTGTTTAAGAAGAATATGACCTAACTGGCATGAGTTTAATAGAAAAGATGAGAAGAATAAATTGGAAAAATGACATCAATTGTACGATTAAACCACATAATATTTAGGCAGTCTTCTCAACTTGAATGAGTGATTTAAGCTCGTATCACTTTAACGTTATCTTAACTATTTATGTAAAATTTAAAAGTATTTATTTTTTTCTTGAGAATACAAAAAGTGCTTTGGAAAAACCAATAAATGTCTAGTAATAAGTAATCATATTGATTGAAAAAACGTTAATAACTTTTTGGATAAGAGGAAATGAAACGGTAGTAAATGTAATAAATACTTAGTTAAGTATTCAAGTAAGAAATGTCATGATGATATTATAATATATTGCCTGGATTGCGAATAATGGTTTAGGGTTTAGTGTGGTGTTATCACATAACACAATCAAATTTAATTTGGTTGATAAAAAAAAAAAAAAGATTTATCTTAACGTGTTAGAGTATACAATTTTTAGAGTAAAAATAACTTGTATATGTACAGAGTTGTGTTATTATAAAATTAATAATTGCATCTTTATACTTATTAACATGAGTTAATATTATGAAGATTAATTATTTGAATTTAAAGTTTATATTGAGTTCATTTTCACGTTTGACATTGACTGGTAAATTTTTTTCTCACAGTATAGGATTCTTTGTAGTCAAGATGATTTATCTATCTAATGTACTTATATACTTATTATTAGTACTCATCCAATGTGTAACGATGGAAGAATTAAATCAAAATAAGGTATTATCATGGAGCACAATTTTCAATCAATTAATGAGTACACTAAAATCAAGATAAAATTGAGAATAGATTTTATTATAAGAGAAATAAATACATCTGCTTTTTCATACTGTGAAGTGGGTTTGGACGATATAGTCTTTATTTTCTATTTTCTTATAGATATGCAGTTCCTCTAGTGCATATGCATACTCTCTTTTGTTTAGGTTATAAATAATATCCATGGCAGATTTCATGATTTGTAACATCTGGTCAATGACTTCTCTGAATTTGTCTCGTGCAATATGTAGATCATCTATATTGTTCTCAACTTTTTGAAAATCTCTCTTAATTCCGGCATTCCCTGAAAAATGTCTAAAACAATTGCAGAAACAATATACAATCAAATTTTATAAATATGTATCATCGTTTTGTTTACGATTTTACAATATAGGATACAAAAGATTTGCAATATTTATACCTTCTGGTTGTTTCGATGGAGAACTACTGTTATTGAGGTCATTGCTGGAATTTGTTACAGATTCTTTTGGTTGTGATGTTTTGTCAGCCATTTTCGAATTAAGTTTTGGAGAAGAAATAAACAGTTAAAGTGTGTAGTATCTGAAGAAAGTCAAATGGGTGATTGATGTCAGAGCAATATTTATAGAAGAACAAGATACGAAAAGGTGGAATATAAGTAGATAACTGGAACTAAATAAACGTGTCAATCAAAAAAGTGTTAATAATTATATTGATAAGGTAAGATGAAACGTTAGTAGACTATTCATCCAATATTAAAGAAAACCATAATAAAAATTTTGTTAATTGTGCAGAATATTTATTAGGTTGTTAATAATGGTTTGGCAAGATGTTAAGTTATTATGATAGGCAAACAATGTGATCTAAGTCAGAGATGATATGACGATGTGACAATATATTTATTAATTTTTTAATTGTGCTTTGGTAATATGGTTATGAAACGTGCATATAGTTCGATTTTGATCTTGTTTGATCAATAATGGTACAATTTTTTTTTTTTAAACGTGTAATAGAAATGGTTATTTCTAGTTTTTTTTTTTTAAATTAAGATTATGATATATTTAGATTGATGTTTATTATTAATAGGAGTCAGTACTATTATCTGAATCTGGTTTTGAGAATACCAAAGGTTCTTTGGGAAAACAAATAAATGTCTAGGAATAAGAAAACATGTTGATCGAAGAAACGTTAATAAGTTCTTGTATAAGAGGAATATTATAGTATATTTAGATTGGTGTTTATTATTAATAGGAATTAGTATTGTTTTCTGAATCTAGTTTTGAGAATACCAAAGCTTCTTTGGGAAGACAAATAAATGTCTAGGAATAAGAAAACAGGTTGATCGAAGAAACATTAATAAGTTCTTGTATAAGAGGATACAAAACAGTAACAAACATAATAATTATTTTGTTAAGTATTCAAGTCAGAAATGTAATGATGATATTATAATATATCGTTTGTATAGTGAATAATGGTTTGCCAGTCATGCTTCAAATGAATGTTATCATTTAGCATAGGATTTAAATTGGTTCATAATAGAATTGAAGTTTTTTTCGATGTGCAATAGGAATGTTTATTATAGATTTTGTTAATTTACATTATAATATATTTAGATCGATGTTTGTCAAGTATGTGTAGACAATCCAATGAGAAAATTGAATATAGAGAATAACACTTTTATTGAGATATTTTTACATGTGTAATAAATAACATAAAGAGCTCATTAAAAATTATATTTCATACATACTCTTTGGTAATCTATGTTACATCTTGGACATGTGATATTTTCTGGGGACATTGATCTGGTCCAATGTATACGATTTTGATTCTCTTTGTTGCAAATCTGAAATATTCTCCTTTTAATGAGAATTGTCGTAGCTGGAGTCATGGACTTGAACACTTCCCTGTAATTTTTCATTTGGTGGAATTGATTAGTTACTTTCACTAATTTCATTATAATTTTTACACCTCTACTATCGTGCATAGTGATTAAAGCAATGACGGTTTGATACATTGCTTGCTGGTTATCTTGTTTGCAAGATTCAATAAGTAGTTGTAATTCTCTGTTTCTATTGTGTTCTACGAAGAATAAATGTGTTCCAAGCAGTACTGAAGCATGGATATTTTCTACTTCTGTAAGTATCTTCAGAATTGAAAGCCTTGCAGTTGTTATTGCTAGTAGTTTGTGTCATTGTTTGAAGATATTTCTTCTATGTAGGACTTGCTTTACGTTTGACTGTTGGTTTAGTGACTTGCACTTGTAAATTGTAAGTTAAATAATGGTTTTCAAACATAAGATCCACAATAATAATAATAGTAATAATAAAGTGTTTTCCAAATACAAGATCCACAACAACAACAAAAAAAGGTGTAAATAATAGTTTCAAATAGTTGGTAATCATAATATCATTACTTGTATGATGAAGAAGTTAACAATAAAAAAGTGTGAAAAATATGGTTCGGTTAAATATCCATTCTAACATGTGTTTTGGTTTTTATATATTAGAAAGCTGTTAACAACTAAAGACACAAGTAATTCAGCATAATCCGTTTCAATTGTTGGGACTCGACATATGACTAACAAAACAATGAAATTAACATATTAACAAAACATGATGATACTAGTAAAACTTACGTTAATCGTATTGCTTGAAGAGTGGTGTTGTTATTTTGAATTGCTTTTGCAATGATTTGTTACAATATTTGTGATGGTAATTGTCACAGGTTTGTGAGTTGTGTTTTTGTTCTTTTGTAAGGAATCATGTTGTTCTGGTGGTGTTTTTTTTCGGTGTAAGTATATTGAAATTATAGAGTTGTTATGGTGTTAGTGGTTTATATAACTTTTGTGTAGATATTGGATAGCAAACAGTTTTCTGTGTGTTTAGATTTGGTAAATATTATCGTGTTAATTATTAATGGGAATTAGCGTTGTTATTTTTTAAACTCGTTTTTAGTATTCTTCTAAATTAATGATGGTATTTTTATTTTGTTGAGCATTAATTATTGGATTTTGTTATATATATCAGATATAATTCTTTCATTTTTTTGTTCTACCAAGAAAAATTGATTATTCTATTCAATGAATATAAACTTTTTTGTTCATAATCATTTAATGTTAAGTATTAATTTATCTTAACTGTAAATGGTTTGCATTCATCTATATCTCTACATAGGTATATTAAGTATTTGATATATTTGATTAATACAAATCTTTTAAAATTCATATAAATTAATGTATTGGATGATATTTTTTGCATCGTACATGAATTATGTGCATATCTTATGCAAGTGTCTGATTCTCCAAAAGTTCTATGAGATAATTGGGCAACTGGTCAAACGAAAGAGGGTGCCTCTCCTGTAAAAAGGTGGGAGGATTTGGACATTGATTTATTGGTGAAAATCTTTTTGTGTTTTGATGTTTTGCAATTGACTTCAGGCATTGCTCATGTTTGTAATTCATGGCGTTCAGCTTTCCATGATCCTTTGCTTTGGAAAACTCTTGATTTGTCAATGTTGAGATCAAATTTTATCAAAACCCCGTTAGAGCCATATGTTTACATGGATGAGTTTCTGATAAGGCATTGACTTGTTTGTTGAAATTTTCGTTGAGTCTCAATTAGGGACAGATAAGAACCTTGATTTTTCACTTCAATTTGTATGCAGGGGACGAACAATTTACTTATATTGCTGAAAGGTAATTTTTTTTATGTTTCCATTTAAAAGCTTGTTGAAAGGTAATTTTGCTTGTTTATTTTCGTTGTTTATTGATTGAGTCTTTGGCATTGCCTTTGGTACCAGTGATCATCACCTTTAAGAAAGAATAAAGAATAAAGAATAAAACATTCTAAGAATAAAGAGAAAGAAAGAATAAGCATTAAAGAACTAAAGAAAGAAATTTTTTTAAAGAAGAAAAAAGAATAGGTTGGTGTGATAGGGAACCGTGAGTGTTAAGAAGAAATTCCCACATACACGTCACCTTAATTAAGTAGCATAAGAAGAAGAAGAATTGTACGACCCGTAAGAGTGTATGTGGATGAGAGTTGTACCAAGAAGAATTCCTACATGCACGTCACCTTAATTGGGTGGCCTAAGAAGAAAGAAGAATTTGTACGGTCCGCAAGAGTGCATGTAGATGAGGACTGTACTCACTCACACGGCCAAGGTTTCGAATCCATATATTAACCGAGTCCGATCGGCAAACAGTAAGAAAAGAAAAGAAAGAATGAGAAAGCTTGAACAAGCAAAGAAAAGAAAAGAAAAGAAACAAGAAAGAAAAGAGAAGCTTGGGCAAGCAAGACAAGAAGAGAAAAGAAATAGAAAGAAGAAATAAAATGCATTTTTATGCATTATTGCATATACATTTCATTTATGCATATTCCCATGAATTTTATTATGGTTAGAAAGAATAGAAGAGTAGCAAGAAGAGAAATAATAGAAAGAGTAAGAAAGAAAGAAAGACAGAAAGACAGAAAGAACATAAAGAAAGAAAGAAACAGAGAGAATTAGAAAGAAATAAAAGAACAGTGAGAATTAGGAACAAAGAAAGGAAGAAGAAGAGAATTAAGTAAGGAAAGAATCAAAGAAGAAGAAAAGTTAAGGGATTTACTTACTAAGCATTTTTATGCTCACCTCGTTGTTTTTCCATGGTTTTGAATGAAATAGGTGAGCAGCGGTCGGAAGGACGTTGACAAGCGGAGAGAATTGGCATTACTGTCTACCGTTGCTAAGTTTTTGTACTTGTTATTTTGATATATATAAAGAATTATATTTTGTATGTAAAGAAAAATTTGGGCCCAACTATTTTCATATGCTAATTATATATGTTTTCATAGTATATGCTATAAAATATACTATTAGAAAGAAGTCATTATATTGGTACAATGAATTGGGAAGTAACGCACTATATATTGTTGTCTACAGGTGTCCTCATCTAAGGCGTCTTGTTATGCCAGCTTGGAATAGAATAAAGAAGGATGTAATTTACAAGGCCATTCATACATGGAGATCTCTCGAATCCCTTACAAAGCCTAGTATAGTAAATCTGCATTATCTTGTAAAGGAAATAGCCATAAATTGCAAGAACTTCAATGAACTGAAGATCATGGGTCCTTTTGATGTTCTCTTTGCTTCTATAATAGTCAAATTTCTTTCAAATTTGAAGGTTTTGAGCTCGAGATGCTCAGCGATAGTTAAGGATGCCTTATTGCTTGTATTGGATGACCTACCAAATCTAGAAGTCCTTTACATATCGCATAGTCTTCTTATAGAAAGTCCACCTTTTTCTCTAGTGATGCCCAAAAAAATTATTAAGAAGCCAGATAAAATTATCTTGGAAAAGGCTGCTCAATTACGTGAGTTCTTAACATGTATTGAGCACTCATGCATCATGTGCCAGCGTACTCGAAGTGATGAAGGCTTTATGAGGTGGTACAAGCATGAGGAAGGTCTATGGAAAATGGATGAGGCGAGGTCTCTTGCTGTTTGATTAGGATGTTGTAGAGACTGTAATTTTAATATTTTGTTTTTCTTGTATGTAATATATAGATAATATGTTGTTGAATAAGCATATATAGAATTGGTCTATTGTGTTTTAGGTCGTCAACACTATCAAACTTGCACGATGATCTTTTCCTATGGGAAGAGTATTATCCATCTGCATAATTATGTACACATGTTAAAATTTTACTTTCTGTTGTTTCAAATTTATCTTTCATTGTTCATTAATGTTATTTCAAAATGAAGTAGTTTCAAACAAATACGCAATTGAGTATTTTATATATTTCAATTCATGTTATTCATTTTGTACTTGTTATTGTGAAATTCATTTCTATTGTCAGGTTTAGTATTTGATAGTGAGATTTTGAAGGAATCTTTGAGTCTCGCTTCTTTTATAGTTTAATGATAAGTTATAGTGAATTTTTCGGCTGAAGTGGTAATATTAAAGTTTTGCTGTGTGCTGTCGTTTTGCCTTTGTAAAATTAGTAAATGATGAAAAATGTTATCATTTAAAATGTTGTTGATACTTAAAGAAAACATGCGAAATTAATAGGTCATATAATTTTTATACCTCTATTGTCGTGCATAGTGATTACAGCAACGGGGAGTTGATACACTACTTGCTGGTCATCTTGTTTGCAAGATGCAATGAGTAGTTGTAATCCTCTATTTCTATCATGTTCCATGAAGAACAAATGTGTTCCAAACAGTAGTGAAGCATGTTTATTATCTGCTTCTGCAAGGATCTTCAAAATGGAAAGACCTGCTATTTTTATTGCTGGTAGTTTGTATCGTTTTTTGAAGACGTTTCTTCTATGTAAGACTTCCTTTAATTTTGATTGTTCATTTAGAGATTTGCATTTATAATTTGTAAGTTAAATAATGGTTTTCAAACACAAGATGCACAGTAATAATAATTAAAAAAAAAAAGTGTAAATAATTGTTTCGAGAATTGGTAATCATAATATCATTACCTGTAGGGTCAAGAAATTAACAATTAAAAAATTTTAAGAAACTGTAATAGAAAACTGTTAAGAACAAAACACACAAGTGATTCAGCATAATCAGTTTCAATTATTGGAAGTTGAAATACGGTTTTCTGTATGACTAAGGAAATTATGAAATGAACAAATTAAGGAAATAACAAATGCATATCCACATTCCCTTGAAAACAAACACAATAAAATTAATTGATCTTCATGTCAACATCATTAACGAATAATTATCTATTCATATAAAAATTAGTACCTAGAAACGAAAACAACAAAAGTTAATTAATGTTCATATTAAAATTAACAGACTGACCGTTCGAATTAAATACAATTAATCTTTCAAATAAATTGACCAAACAAAAGCAATCATTCAATGTAATAATTAACAAAAGACCAGATGTATTGTTGACACCACTCAACAAATTGCGATGATCCACAACTGAACACGCACTCCTTTTATAGCCCCTTATTTAGACCTTCCGAATAACAATGCAATTAAATACGAAGAGAGTTTTCCAATGTCAATATGATGCAATAATTGATAGCAATCCAATACACTTGTATAATTGTTATTAATTCACATCTTCGGAATGGAATGTAATGCACTTGTATTATTATTATTATTATAGATGACGGAATAAATACTAACCCAGCGTGTCAAGATAGAGCAATTTGACTATCCAATGTGTCAAAATTGAGCAATTCTAAATCTTCCAAAATATGCCACATGGCGAACAATCTGCATGGGTATTCATGGTGAACAACCAGCTTGGGTATTCATGAATCTTGATTTTTTACTTCAATTTGTATTTAGGGGACGAACAATTTATTTATATTGCTGAAAGGTAATGTTTTTTATGTTTCTGTTTAAAACCTTGTTGAAATGTAATTTTTTTATTCTCACTGTTTATTGACCGAATTTTTTCAATTGTCTTTGGTACTAGTGATCATCATCTTCAATTTTTTTTTTTTTTTGCATAGTGAACTGGGAAATAATCTATCATATATTGTTGTCTGTAGATGTTTGTGGTTGAGGCAGCTTGTTATGCCAGCCTGGAACACAATAAAAAAAGGACGTAATCTGCAAGGCCATTTCTCTGACAATGCCTATTATAGAAAATTCCCCTTATCTTATAGAGAAAATAGCCCTAAATTGCAAGAACTTCAGTGAACTGAAGGTCATGGGTCCTTTTGATGTTCTCTTTGCTTTTACGATAGCCAAATTTCTTCCAAATTTTAAGATTTTGAGCTTGAGATGTTCAATGATAGTTAAGGATGCCCTATTGCTTATACTAGATGATGTACCAAACCTGGAAATCCTCAACATATCACATTTTCTTCTCATAGAAAGTCCACCACTTCCTCCACTGTTGCCCAAAAAAATATTAAGAAGTTTTTAACATGTACTGAGTCCTCATGCATCATGTGCTAGTGTACCTGAAGTGATGAAGGCTTTCTGAGGTGGTACAAGTATGAGGAAGGCTTATGGAAAATGGATGAGACGAAGTCTCTTGCTCTTTGATTGGAACAGTGTAGAGACTGTAATTTATTTGTCAGAAACTACAATGTATGTACTTCTTCTTTACATGTTGTTTTCTTTGTATGTATTTTATTTGTCAGAAACTACAGCGTATCTACATTATATGTTCTTGATAGGCATATATAGAATTGGTCCATTGGGTTTTAGGTTGTCATCCTCCTAACACTATTGTCTTAGCTCGTCAACATTGTAATACTTGCGTGACGATCTTCTCCCATTAGAAAAGCATCATGTACATATGGTCAAATTTCAGTTCCTGTTGCTCTTAGTTGATCTTCTATTATTGATCAATACACAATCAGGTGTTTTATCTGTCATTTATGTTATTAGAATTAAATTACAAGGATTTCTCTATTTTTCATTTATCGTATTTATATATCTACATTTTTTCCACCTTGAATTGGAAATACTGTTTGCGATTCATGTTATTTTATCTAGGGAATTGTTATTGCTTATGTTATTGAATTTAAAATTCTATTGGTTCTGTAAACGTTAGTGTCAAATTCATTTGTATTGTGAGATTAGGTATTTGATAGTGAAGTTTTGAAGGAATATTTCATTTTCCTTCCTTTATAGTTTTATATTACATTGCACTGATATTACTCGACTGAAATGGTAATATTAAAGTTTCACAGTGCACTGTCGTTTTGGCTTTGTAAAATTCGCAAGCAATGAAAAACGTTGTCATTTAAAATGTTGTTGATATTTAATTACTTGAAGTAAATTTTGGGATTTAGGGTTTTCTCTGTCAGTACTAGCATTAAGAGCATTTGTCCCAGTTTGTTTGTTGCAATTTCTACGTCTGTGTTTTAGTGTTGAGTGAAACGGAGATAAGTAAGTACATTTTCTTTAGTTACAGTGACAATGTCATTTTCTATTCTACATTGGTCTAATTAATTTTTCATCGATTTTAACTTTGATTAAAGTGCATGTTATTCTTACATAGCTCCGAGATTCATTATTATTATTATAAGAAGTTGTTCTTAGATAGTTGTGCTGATAATTTATTGTATTCGCGTTGTTTATTTGTTTCTTTGGCAGTTGTGTTGTAGATTATTATGTCGGTCTTTTTACTACTGAAATGGGTGTGTTTTTTATTAGGATTTTGTTCTGCTTGGGTTGTTTATCTGTTGTTCTGGTAGTAGTGTTGCAGATTATCTCATTAGTAAATCTACTACTGAAGTTGGTGTTTTTCTCGTTATGATTCTGTTTATTATCTTATTGTGTTTAGTATATATTATAACACTATCATTGTTTTATGAATCCATGTTATGAAATGCCAGTGGTATGTTATCTTGTTGTGTTTAGTATATATTGTAATACCGTCGTTTGTTTTTATTGCAGTAATGGCTCCAAGAAACTTGATGAAATTTATTCGTAGACTTGATTCTGAAGTACTATATAGAGCAGGATCAAGTAGTGATTCCAAGTCAGAATCGTTAATGCCTACACAGTCTTCTGTTTTACTTGCATCAGTCTCTAATTCTGTGAAACCTGATTCTGGTTCCTGCCATGTTAAACTGACTGAAGAAGAAGATAATCAGTCAGAAGAAATTCCATTATGTCAATTGGTGAAATGGCAGAAAATTTGTTAGCGACAAGGTCCAAATGTGAACTTTGAACGAAAATGGAAAAATCTTTGTAAAGAAGATCTAGACAGCAAAACTTTCGATCTAGGGAAAGAGGTAATGTTTTTTCACTTTATCATGTGAATATATACTTATGGCATGATAATGTTAAGCTAGTTTCATTGTTTTTGAAATAGGCTTATGAAGGTTTCTTAGAAATCAGAGAACGCTGGCTTGTTTTAGAAGACGTGGTTGCAGATTTGACAAACAAAATAAAGATGCGATTGCTGAGGTTCGTAGATTGAAAGAACAGTTGAAAATATTAGAGGATGTGTTTGAAAAGTCAAAACCGAATTGAAATACAGTGAAGAATCATTTAGAAATGCTGAAGAGTCTTTTGCAAATGAGCGGTGGCAAAAGGAAGTCTTTAAAAAGAAAGTTATGAATTGTCTGAAGAAAATAATAAGATTAAATCTTTAATTGCACAAGCTAAGAAAGATAAAGAATAGGCTTATGATTCAGTGTCAAATATGTTTTTTACCACCAGAAAAGCTTGTGTCAAAGAATTTAAAGACAGATTCCCAAATGAAGATTCTAGTTTTTAGAGACAATTGTGTTGAAATATGAGGAGATGCAGTCTAATTTTGATTATATCGATGGGAATGCTATTGTACCTTTCTCTGGTCCATTTAATGGCACTTTTATAAATATTTAAACCATTTGTTAAGCATTTTCACCATATTCTGTCAAAATTTCGCTCACAAGTGTTTATAATCTTGTTATTATCATGGAAATGGATGTATTCAGTTGATGCTAATTTATGTGCACGCGAAACAAAATCTCCAGTTTATGTAATGCCATTTCTATAAATATTTAAACTTTTAATTGT